TTTGGTCTTGGTGGAATAGATCTGCTACGCGGCTGCTGCGGCAGAGCAAGTACTGAGACTTGCTACTGCCAATACATCCACAACATGCTGCTGTGAGCATGTAAGAAATACTGCTGCTGCACATATAACATGCATGAAATAACCCCCATATAGCGTACATGAATCACCCCATAGCAGATCTACACAGGTGGAGCTGGGGAAGGTGGAGGGTTTCTGAAGTGCACTGCAAACTGCAATCAAAAGCCAGGAATTTGAATATTGAGCAGTAAGCTCATTGACTACCGATACAGGAGAGAACCAATCAGCTGCCATGTGACAATGATGTCGCCAGGTCAGATCGGACTCCACCAGTTTCATGCCAGAACTCTGTATTTATTTTGTCCATCAAACGTGTGCTGTCACTTTAATTGACCGTGAGCAGCGCAGCAATAATAGACTCAGCACCAAAACCATCGCTTCAGCGCTGCTCATGCAACGCTCCTGCTTGACGCTAATGCTCTGCTCCTGCTCCCAGTGTGAATACACTCATTTGTTAACATGCACGCCAAAAAAAACAAAACAAAAAAAAGCTCACGTGCTGCTCGTGCTTGCTGTGTGAAACTGGTCTTAGACCTTACTGAATCTGTCATCTCAAAACTGGACCACTGCTTTGCCTCTTGACTAGCCTTCAAGCTAGCATGATTAAACCTCAACCGGTGATCCAGAACATGCAGCCAGTCCACTTTCAGCCAACCAAAGAAGACACTTGTCTCCAATAGCTGCATACATAAAATGCAAGACTTTGACCTTCAAGACTGCTGCTGGAAGACCACCAGGTGTTCCTGATTGTCTTCTGCGGTCAGAGAGTGAGCGACACCTGCTGGTCCCATCGCGACAAGCTACAAAGTAATTTTTCCAGAACCTTTGCTCTCTCTGTTCCTCTGAGTTGGAACAAACCTCTAACCTCCACCCACTTTGTGTTGGATACAACTGTCTCCTAAATTAATTAATGCAAATTTCAACTTGTGTACAATACTCAACAATTACTATTTACACTCTTAAAGTTACATCTTCTAAAAAGTGTTAGTTTCATTATAATTATTTTTTTTAATAATGCAGTGATGCCACAGAAGAAACATTTCTTAAAGGAAAATGTATTTATTTTTTCTTAATGTGAAGAATATTTTATAATCTAAACAACCCAATATTACTATATATATATGTATATATATATATATATATATATAATTTTTAAGTTAATTGTAAATTATTTTAAATTTTTACACATATATAAATAAATACATGCATATAATAATATTAATACATACATTAGTATTAATGTATCTCTTGTGCTATGTGTATTTCAGTCTTTATTCTGTGTAAGAGATAAGCAGTGTTATTCCTGAGGGTTTGAGATCCATTTGGCGTGGCTCCATGTTTAAAGTTTTTGTTCTAATATTAGCAGACCGCTCACATTGTGTGTAGATTAGAAGAAGGACGAGACTCGTGGGGAGCGTCTGCGTAATATCAGGGTTGGGAGGTTTTTCAGTAATTGGTTAGATTCGGCTTTGTTGGTCTTCTGTTTAGTGAGATCAAACTCACTGATAGTTCCTGGTGTCAGATGAGCTCAGGTCAGGAGGACGTTCTGCGATGTTGTCAAAACACTGTCCTGCATGGTTTGTCATCACTTCTCTGTGTGACAGCAGACACTGATGTCTGATAAGAGGACGCTTGTTATGATACAGGACGGGTGGCTCATTTTATAGCTCAGTAATGGTATATGTCATAATATAGCTTTATTTACTGAAAATTATATATATATATATATTAGGGCTGGGCGATATAGCTAAAAAATGTATCAACGATATGATGTTTCATATCGTTCGGTATAGATAATTATTGAAATTTTTTAAAACCTTTTTTAAAACAAAAAGCAATAGAATTTTTTTTTTTGATTTAACCACTGTATTTATAATTAGCACAATTTATTGAGACAAACAACAAATATTTTTTGTTTTAACAAACACAATAAAAATTAAACAAATATCTAATTTCTAATGTTTTATATGCAGATTAAATAGGTCTTTATTGTATAGGTCTAATTGTCTCCCAAGGGCGCAATGAGCAAAATAATGCAGCGCATTTAAATTGTCAATGCAAGGAAGTAACTGTCTATAAAAAACGTGCATTGCGTCTAAATTAACTCATATAAATCAAATATAATTTCGTAAATTGCATAAACAATTATGTACAAAACAGCATCATGTATTTATGCATTGCTTATTCCAAAGAGCCGAAGCGCCGATCACACAGACTGCATTTAAAAACATATTTATATCAATATCACCTCATCTCGCACGCCACTGATGATGACGCTCCCTGATGCACACTTAACATTCAAATGCAAATGTTTATTTTAAATTCGACTAATATTCATTCTTTATTCACAATCTTCTCATCGCAGGCACAGCACTCATTACAGCATGTGTTCGTTTTTGTGTGTGCTGTCTGCGTTAATATATATATATATATATATATATATATATACACCCACACATATACACTCACACACTCTCTTTCACACTTTCTCACACACACACACTCTTTCACAGTGGGTGTCTTCTGTAAATCATGGTAAAAATGTATGACAGTCATTATTTTTTGATCAGAAAAAATGACACATTCTATTGTACAGCTGTATTAAACTTTTATTGTTTGATGCTTGAAAACCCTTTATCATCTTTGACCTATATGCGCGCGCGCGTGTGTGTGCGTGTGCGTGCGTGCGTGTGTGTGTGCGTGAGAGTGCGCGTGTGTGTGCGTGTGTGTACGTGAGAGAGTGCGCGTGTGTGTGTGTGTGTGTGTGTGAGAGTGCGTGAGAGAGTGTGCGTGTGTGTGTGTGAGAGAGTGTGCGTGCGTGCGTGTGTGTGTGTGTGTGTGTGGCGCTGCCTTCCATTGCATTGTGAGTGTGGTTCCTGTAGGCTTCTGTGTATTGTGATAAGAGCAGAGGAAATCCTGTCCATTCCCTCTCGGCCTCTGATTTTTTTTTCCTGACCTCTGATCCAGCTCATTGCTGCCCGTGGTGACCGATGCTGTTTGGAAAATAACTGTGCAAAAACGCGGATCCATTAAATGCAGCGCTTGTCTGTTTCCTTCTGACAGAACCAGTGTGTTTCACTCACAAACGTGCATGAGAGAGTCATCAGACTTTTCCCTCTCAAGCTCAAGGATTGGTGATCCATCTCAAACCGGTTTAGGTAGTCATTAGTCCGTCTAATGCTATGCTTGTCCTCCTCAGGTGAAATGGACCATGGAGGTGCTGTGTTACGGCCTGACGCTCCCGCTGGATGGAGACACGGTTAAGTTGTGCGTGGACGTCTACACTGACTGGATAATGGCCCTGGTGTCTCCGAGAGACTCTATACCCCAGCCCATCATTAAAGAGCCTAACCTCTACGTCCAAACCATCCTCAAACACTTGCACAACCTTTTCCTGCCCAGGTGTGTTTGGCATGTGGCTTCAAATACCCATGATGCACAGTGCACGTAAACTCTTCCATGACTGCATTGATGAACACTGCATACTGCACACTTTATACTGTACACTACCTACAGTCATTTTTATTGCACAGTATGCAACAGTCATTTCAAACATTAGTGAGATTTATTTCACTGAGTGGTGTCTACTTATCATCTCATGAAATAAAAAACAGCATAATAATTTTGTACTTTTTTTTGCAGTTTAGTGTAAAAATGTCTAAACTCTTGCAGCCCGATTATCATCATAACGTATCAATTCAATAATATTATCAATACAAACTGACTCAAACATTTAAGCATTTTAATAACAAGATTTTTAATTATATGTGTGTTTGTGTGTATTTTTTTTTTTATCATTTATTTTATTTATAATTGTGTTGCATGTTTTAAGATAATGATCACAGAAATCTGTAATGAAATTACAGAAATGCTTCTTTTTCTACAGTCAAAAATCATATTTTATTTTAGCCAACATGTATGTGTAAACATATATATATATATATATACATGCATATATATGTGTGTGTGTGTACACACACTATTAGTATATTATCAGTATACTACTAATACATACAGTATGTATTAGAAATCTCATTAAAATGATTAAACGTTTAAGCTTTGTTGTATTGATGATTTTTGAAAGAGAAAATGATTATTTGTTTTGTTCTGATAAAATGACTCTCCTAGAACAATATTATTTTTGGATGTGATGCTAGGTGTGTTTTCTGCCTAATAAGTGTAGCACTTCCTGTTTGTGCTTTATGATTTTCAATATGAATGCTTCTTTCTTTCAGACCAGAGCACTTCAGCCTGGTGCACTTTAAATTGTGTCAGCAAGTGCTGTCTGCCGTGCAGAAGTTGGCACGGGACTCGTCCGGGATGGCCAGAGAGACCTGGGAGGTGCTGCTGCTCTTCCTGCTGCGCATCAATGACACGCTACTGGCCCCGCCCACTGTGGGAGGTGCGTATGTCAGCCGTGGACAAACACGATGAAGTTCTGTCTTTAACTAGATCTTACATTGACTGAGAAACAAATGAGAGAAGGTGCACGTTTTGCATCTAAACAAACTGCATTTTGTGTGCCGTATGCACATATGTGACCCTGGAGCACAAAAGCAGTGTTAAGTCGCTGGGGTATATTTGTAGCAATAGCCAAAAATACATTGTATGAGTCAGAATTATAGATTTTTCTTTTATGCCAAAAATCATTAGGACATTAAGTAAAGGTCATGTTCCATGAAGATATTTTGTAAAT